TTAATGGAGTTGTGCCAAGGCCGACTATGCCCACAGCCTATATAGGACAGCTAGCCTTCTGGCAGGAGGGAAGCTTGACAAGACTGCTTTTGTAGGAACAATTAAACCTTCTGATATTGGCAGTACCTAGTGACGTTTTAGGAACATTTAACTGGACTTGAAATTATTATCTTGGAGCTTTCAGATATATCTATCATGCCTGAAAGACAAAGAAAGCATTAATAAAGGTGTCTTCAAGCATGGAATGAGTTTAGTTCCATCAGCAGTTCTGAGTTATCAGGCCGGTTAGCAAGGTTTTAATTTACAATAAGAATTGTATGTATTTTTTCACTTGCACTAGTGTAACATTTGGCTTCATTGTGGATGGATATTAAATAAGGTTTGAAAGAAAGGTCTGATTCTCTGATCCTCCGTATGCATTTCATAATGCTTTTTGTTTTACTTGAAACATCCATGTGCAACCCATGTAGGCATTTTCTTTCTACTTGGATTTGGAGATCCTGTTCTATTGTTATGTGATAGTGTCTCAGCAATGAAAGCAGCTTCAATGGTTTGAGTTCTGGAAACAGTATATATTTCATCTAGTTTGTTGTTTTTCATTCTGTTTACTGGTTGTGTTTTGGAAAATGTGCTGGCTTGCCTGTAAGCTCTTGAACTACAAAGTACTCAAATAGTTTCCACAATGTGTTAAGGCCTCTAGCTCGTTTGAGTCTGCTCACTAAAACTTCAAGGATATTAAGCTAGTTCTCAAGACCAGAGTCTTGGCACTTCAGGTGATGCTATGGGGTACTAAGTAGGCACAATCTGAATCCTGAGCAGTGGCATCTCCTGATTTTAGAAATATCCATATCACTACTCCCCTGCACCCTGCAAAGTAAAATGCCTGTTTTATAGCATTTTTCTCCTCCACATCCCCTCAGCCAGGGAGTAGGTGGATGCTTGCTGGACCACAGGTGTGTAAGGGGGAAAGAGGGAAGATATAATTATTCAAGCCAAGATCTAGTCAAACATAAAGCTGCAAGGGGATGTTCCCCTAGTGAGGCTCATCTGATACTTGTGGCAGGAATGATGATGCTCTTGCTTTCTGTTTAGATAGTTAATATTATTTTCTCATCTTAAAGCTAACTGAGGTATAGATATTTGATTCAAAAAGGAGAAAACTCGTTGGACTTTTTGAAGAGGATAAGGAAGTTAGGTTCGCAGATGTCACTGACTGTCAAAGAAAAGTAATTTCTTTTGAAAATCTGAGCTTTAGAAACAGGTATAGTTCATAAATCCAATTATAAATAATAACTAATAATTTCTAAAGATGGACCAAAATTCATGTTGTCCATCTTTGCAAATATAGCTTGTATCTTGACGTGTTAATAATTTATGACCTCATGTTATGGCTGTACTCCCACTGCATTTTAGTGGCATTATACTGTAGTGTTTGGAGAGATAGAACAAAGCATGGATAACATGAAGAAAAAAAAAAAGTACTAGGTGGCAATGGATTATTAATATAAAATTTTGCCCCTAGATAATGACTTTTTATTGACCCCATAAGGGAAAGGCACAGTAATTCTAGGCCACTCTTCAGCAGTGTATCAAGAATTCACAGTAAATCTTGGGTCCACATTGCTGATTCAGCAAAACAGCTGGCAGGAGCATAGTCTGCGGGTATTCAGAAAACAACTCCCTCATTTTAGAAAACAGGACCACATACCAAGAAATAGAGAAAGCAGTCTCCTCCAGCTAGGATATTCAATTGACCATCTTAAAAGGATGAGCTTCAATAATTATTAAAGTAACAATGAAAGGAATAATTGTCACTTACTCAAATTAACTTTGTATTTGTTTTGGTATCCTGTCACCTAGCCAGTTTTCCAAGATACAAACAGAGTAACAAAACCTGGCAAGTTCTGTGCATCTGGTATTGGTGGCCTGAACCTAATAAAAGATGTAAGTGAAGAACAGAAAATAAAGCTGTCAGTTAGATCTTCTAATAGCTTTTAAATATTGTTATATTTTATTACAGATCTAAGATTAGCCTTGTTTTCGGACTTGGATCTTTTTCAAGGTTTTCTTTCAGTCCAACCTTTTTTTAGCTATCAAGGCTAAGTTTTTCAGCACTGAACAATAGAAATAGTATCATAGCATTTTACACATTTCTGCTCCCCTAACTACCAGTCCTTTTATATGGTAAATGTGACTTTGTCAGGTTGTTTGGCTTTGAAATTTTCTTCATAGTAGTTTATAAACAGACTGTGCATCATGCTATGCCAATGGAATAAACATTGGAGTATCTATCTCAATGAGATGGATGGATGGAGATGAGCAGTTTGTAATCTGAGATTAGTGGATAAAAGAGACTAGAGTGAAAATACAGTTACTCATAAAAAAAAAAAAAAACTTCTCAGAGTTAATGCAAAGCAGTCTGCAGAGTTGGTATATGTGAAAGCAGGAGTGCCAAAAAATCCTCCAGCAATGACAACAAAACCCCTAGTTAACGTGTGGACTTCACATAAAGTGGAGGAACTTTAATTATGGAATCAGTGGGCAGTGCTAAGCAGGAGACATGGCAGACTGCAGTGAGGATAGTATGTCCAGGCTTTATTTTTTGTTTTGAATAATCTAGTTAATGGGAGACATCCAAAAAAACTCATAAACACCCCCTCCCCCCCCCCAAAAAAAAAAAAACCAACCCATAGTACAGCTAATGTGTTCTGAAACGGAGGTTTCTGTTTGTGGAGAGGGAACTTCTTTTACATTGAAACGTTGAGGAAGAACAGTGCTTTGCAATCAACAGAGCACGCACTCTCACTTTAATTTGCAGTACTGCTGCTGCCTCACTGTGTAACCCTGGATAAGTCATTTAAGATGACATCCACAGAAAGATTCAGCATGCAGGTCTCATGTGATTTCCAATTTAGCTGCCTAAATCCTAAAATGCTATCCTAATCCTGCCTAATCCTGGAGATACCTACAGTCCAGAAATGCCTCAGTTTTCTATCTGAAAAGGTCTCAGGTGTAAAAACCTCCCTATTTTTTCATATTAAAAACTACCAAAACACATGAGGGTGTCGGATAGCCAGGACCCAGCTCCCCCATGAAAAGGGTTGCTAAGCATGGTTCAGTCAACATGATCTGAGAAGTTTAATTTGGTATGTTTGCTGGGAGCAATGCTGATGGCCTTGGCTGTGTGCAGTAGTGGCTTGTGCTTCCTCTGTCCTGCCAAGTAGCTCAGTGGCTTAACACTCGTCCAGGATGTACTTCAAGGATAGGTTCACTGCTTCTCTCTGCTTGCTGGGATCCCTCCTATCGCTACCCTCCTGCTGGTTTTGTACTGATTCGGTCCAATCTTAGGCAAAGGGGCAGGTACGAACATAAAAGTGAAGGAAGTGACGCTAGTCAAAGGTAATGCAACATGCAGGGTTGTGATGAGGATTTAAAAGAAACCTTTCTTTTCAATGTCTTGTGTTGGCTTTGTGAATCTTGTTCTGAGGCACCTGACTGTGTATGCAATGCAAGAAGCCTACAGGGTAACTCAGGGCCTTTGGCTGTCGTTACAGGCTGTCTGAAAATGAGGCACTGTGACACTGTATATCATGGTGCTAAAATTCCTGATGAGTCCTAAACTATCTCTCAGTGCCTTGAATTTCCATGCTTATAATCCTTCCCTGTCTAGGACGGTGTACTGTGGGCAGAAACAGGGATATGTAGAGCTAAAAAATGTGCAATATTTAGCTAGAACGAGGGATCTGGGGGCTGTAATGAATCATGCTATCAGCAGAGCAACATGGGGAGGAACCTGTGACTCGCATCGCTGGGTTGCGCTGAAGGATTCCTAAATGCAAAGTGCCAAGTGCTGTTATAATTGGGTTAGATTGCTCAGTGCTTATTCAAATTCCTGTTGATACTGGCAGTGGGAGTTTTCCTGAATAAAAGCTGAACAATGAGTCATCTCCAGGTGTTTTGATTTGAAAATGCTTTTTTCGAAACTGGTAAGAAACTCCCTGTGTGCAGCCTCTAAAGCATCTTCCCCGTTGGAGCAGCTCCGCCGTGAGCACTGCAGCACAGCTTGCACAGACCGGGCTTTGTACTTTGGCACCGTCATGGAGTTTCCTGCCAGTCAGAGGAGTTGAAGCCACTCCTCTCTTGCGGAGAGATTTTGTTTCTGATTTGAGTCGGGAGGACCAATCCGGGGGCCGCCCTGTTTTTACGGTGCTGTCAGATTGCAACCTTCTCCTGCTCCGGCTAATCTCCCTAGCCTTCTTTGGTGTTGGCACAGCAGGCTGCCTTTAACACGCACAATGTGCTAGCCGTTCAGTGCTGAAACCTGTTTCAGTGCGGGTGTTTAAAATGAGGTGGTGGCTGCTTTCCCTTCTGTTTGACAGCTGAATTTTTTCTCCAGGTTTTCATGATCAGCACTGGGGGATCCAGGAAATTTTGTCACCACTGGCGTATTTTTATTTAAACTGTCGTCAGTGGACGTTTCTCCTTCTGCTGCAGCATCATTGTTGTCCTGTTCACAGATATTAAGACTTAAGAAGCTTGATTCTCTAAGGCTCATATCCAAGGGCATCAGTCATTAACACACTGAGCTACATCTGCTTCTTGGCTAAGACTGAAGAAAGACATCTTAAGCTGGAAATCCTGGTGCTTGCTCACTCGCTCGCTCTCTAGTGCATACAGAACAGGAGGCATATGCAGCAGCAGGTTCTTTTTTTTTATTCCAAAAGGCTGCCTCACTTTGGAGATGCAGTGACAAGATAATGGAGTAAAAGTCTCCCATTTCCAGGGAAGAAAATTACAGGAGTCAGCCAGTGAAAGGAAGGAGCAAGTTAAATAGCAGCAGGTAGAGTAAAGGAAGGAGGACAGTGGTGAAGAACTGAAAATAAAATTAGAGGAAACAGGTGGAAGGCTGACACAAAGCTGGGAGATATCTTAGGCTACAACTGTCTTTTTTTTTTCCTTTTCTTTTCTTTTTTTTTTTTTATTCTAAGCTGATATTGAAGATCCCTGCCATAAACCAGGCTGTTTCAGTACAGCAGCTTCCCAGACGTGTCCTTTTCTCTCTCCCTGCCTGCTGTTTCTACTATTGCTGCTGCTGACAGAAACGTGTTAGGAAAGCAGAAAGAGAAAATGCCAGCCATCCTGGTAGCCTCCAAAATGAAATCGGGACTACCTAAACCCGTACACAGTGCTGCTCCAATCCTGCATGTCCCAACGACAAGGACCATCCCACAACCCTGCTACCTGAAGTTTGGGAACAAGGTGGAGGTGACCAAGCCCTCGTATTCCAGCCAGATTCCTCTCAAATCTCCTAATGGACAAGAAAATGCAGGAGATGGACTCCTACCAAGGAAGAGTAGCTCGGTAGAAAATGGATTTGACACACAGGTTAGAAAACACCAAAATTTTGGGGAGGTGTATGGGGGAATTTATGTATTGTATGTGTTTTCTGAGGTAGGTAGCAGTGGTGCGAGTAGAGGTAAGAGCAAGGTGTGTATGCATGTAATAACATCTGTCTAGGGTGGTGGGATGCTTCATGTTGCACATAGTGGCATGTGTTACCAGGGGGTGATATTTTAATTTTGTTACTGTGGTGGAGCTGACAGTAGGGTTGTGAAGGATGGTGCTGTGTGTGCTCTTTCTCTGTGCTGCCTTGTATACTGGCTGTGCTTGAACTTGCGAGGTTTATTTGAGGGAGAAGGGAGAGAGACTGTTTATGGGGTGTGCTCTTTGTGCTCTTTCTGTAGGTGCTGATGGTAATGGCTGGTTTCTCTATCTGTGGTGTGGAAAGATCACTGGTTGTAGTGAATTCATTTTGTATTTGGTAGTGTGCTGTATTGGAGTATGAGCATTTTATATTTGAGGTTGTGTGGGGAGCGAGAGGGAGGCAGTATGCTCTATGTTAGATCAGATTACAGTATCATTCTCAGTACAGCTAGATTAGATTATGTAGAAATTAATATGCACGTGGAATTATCTGGTTTTTGTGCTATAAGTGCATGGCATCACAGATGCAGCACATTATGAATATGCATTTTTTAGATTTTACTTCGATGTGTAATAGTTTTGTTTTTTGTTTTGTTTTGTTTTTTACATATGCTGCTTCCTGCACTGAGAGAAGAAATGTACATTCTTCAGCTTGTTTTATTTTTATCAGCATAGTAACCTTTTCAGCATGGCTCAGATTGCCTTGTACTGCTGATGCCCCAGTGTGCTCAACAGCAGTGTAAGCAGATAGTATGTGTTAGCATACTACGATGTGAGCAAAGCAGATGGTCTGCTGCAGCAAGCAGAATTGATTAACGTTATATAAAGGTTGCTGTATAGTAGCGTGATGTATTTTGGAAACAGCCATGTACATTACAAGCTGCTTCTGCAGACATCTGAGCCTGGTAGAAGGTGGTACTGCTATACTGGGATAGGGAAGTGATGTCTGATCTTAATCTTTTTTTCTTTTCCTTCCTCAAAGAATAATGGGTCATCCCTGCCATGTAAATGTTTAAATCTGTGGCCTCACAACCCATTCTCTTAAGAAAAGCGTGACTGCTGATTGGGTGTATCTGGCCCTGTGCCCTGAATTTTAGGATATGCTGCACTTTCTTTGCTGGTAGACAGGGTGACGTCTCAGGCCAGACTGATATGACTGTAGCAGTTCCTGAGGGATTGAAAGCAGAAAAAGGAGACAGGCAAGCATTGGTGTTGGGGTGATGGCAGCAGGCTGACCGACCTGTGCATCGCATCACATGTTCTTAAGAGAGAAACGAGTACTATTTTTCGCTTGTGCTGGAGTCTGTCCTCATCATTATGAAATGTCAGCAAAATCCCATTGTATAGTGCTCTTTCTCTCAGACACGCCTTGGTTTCTGCATAGAAATTTACATTCCTGCATAAGTGATTGTTATTCATAAATACTCTCTCATCTTATAATAGATTTTAATCAGAGAGATCCTGCTAGAGTGGTAGCAGCTTACAACAGAAAGGGGAATAGTGTTTTTTTTTAACACTTACACACATGTGGAACAAAGCACATTTTGTATATACTGATGTTAAAAGAGTCTTCATGCTAATTTATTATAGTTAAACAAGAAGCAATTTTGACTAAAGGAATTTTAGGTAATTTTGGATTTTGAACAACTTCTTACTAAAAGCAGTGGGAGAAATCCTAAGTTTGTCATTCTCAGTAACCTTATTCAAGCAGTAGTCTTAGCAGATGACCAGCACCTTTTAAGGTGTGAACCAGTGAGATTTGTTTTACTCTCCATTGTCTTGGATAAACAGTCCTTTCACGTGGTTCTTATTGATGCAGCTTTGATCCCTCTGCCCACGTGAGCATGCATGGTGTTGCCATTCAAGGTACTAATTTGGGACATTCGTCTATATCTCAAGGGAGGTTTTTTCCAGATCAGTTGCCTCAGGGACACTGTTCTTTCCTTTTTCTCTCTTCCTCCATTAAGGAGGAGGAGGAGTGGGATGGATGGACACCTGCCAGATGGTATGTCAGCAACAGGAACGTTTTTCCCCTAGGAAACCTTCAGCCTACGTTCAGGTATAGAGGTGCTTGCTGATAATAAATCTCCTGAGGTTGAATCCCTAGGACTAAATATCTCAAGAACCATATGCTCATCGTATGGTGATCATGTGCTTCTCTGGATGTTTTATCTGAAGTATCAATATTACTGCCACCATTTTACTATGCAGGCACCTAGCATCCTCTGTGCCCTTGCAAGAGAGTTTAGATCCATAAATCAGACTAACACTGAATGTTTTGGCACCTCTCTTCTGGAGATCTGGATCCCCAAGTGGAATTTGCAGCCCACAGGAAGGACATATATCCTTCTGCATGGGTGGAGCGAGAGGCAGAACGAAGTTCTGATACTCAGAGCAAAAGCCTAAGAGAACAAATAAAAATGAGCAAAATCAATGTATCTCGTGCTGTATTCATTGCCAGGGATGAACCTGGAGTTTGCAGCCCCAAATTCTCTTCCAGAGTTAGAGGCCTAAGCTATTTTTATCAAAAAAATGAGGTGATACCAGACTACTTTCAATACAACCAGAAGAGCAGCATTACTTTTATAGAACTGGTTGGTAGTTAGAGCGCCCAGAGGGTGGGAAATCTGAATTCAGTTTCTATTTCAACATAAGAGAATTCAAACTTCTCTCATATCTCCAGAAACTTTCTTAAATCACCTGGACACAGGCTATTCTGGGACTATTTGGGGGACTTGCTCTCAATCCTGCT